ACTTCCTCCGACTTCCCCCCTCGTCTCCCCCCTCCCCACTCCCGCTCCCCCGATCCCGCTTCTCTTCCGCCAGCGCTTCACCCCTGATCCTTCCCCCTTCCCCCCTCCTTCCTGACCTTCTCTCTGCGCCATCGTCGCCTCTCCTCTTCTTCGTCATCTTCTTTTTCCTCCTCCTCCTCTTCTTTTCCTCCCTCTTCTTAGTCATCTTCTTCTTCTTCTTTCTCCTCCTCTTCCTCCTCTTTTCTCCTCCTCCTCCGTTAGCCATACCTGTCGGAATCCTACCCCCCCTCCCGGCACACCCTAAAAAAAAATTCCAACCTTCAAAGTTATTGCGTAATCCGACAGATCTCGACAAGCGCAGTCGAATCCCGTGAAGAAAAAAAAAATAATAATAATAAATTGGGCATTTTTTTGGGCCATCCAGTTTGCCGGTTGACCCCCCTTGGGACCAGGTGGATTTTTTTTTGGGTCCCACGCATTAGGGTTGGGGCACTGGTGTCGCAAGGGACTATAGAAATTTTCCTCGTGGCCCCAGGCCCGGACTGGGGTGAGTCCCCTAACGTTAAGGAGTGAGTCATTTTGGTTCCGAAAGAAGAGGCTCAGATGTACTTGTGGCTAAGGGTACCACCACGATCCCCTATGGCCAGGGGTCGGCCTGATTTTGTTTTCAGGAGGTAGTGGAGGTTTTGGTCAGTAAGGGTCACTGCCAAGCTGCCTCACTGCATCCACGCATATACTCGTTTGCCCTGATCAGGTGCACCCTGATGACTGTAATCATGCAGCTGCAGGGTAGTGCCCGTGACGAAGGGCAGAACTGGTGAGCCACCATAGCCATTAGGAAGTGATGTAATCAAAAGCAAACCAGTTGGCGAAGAAGGACAACAACCTGGTGCTTCTCTTTTCTCGCAGCCACAGGAGTACATCAGCTGCTTTCAAAATAATCGTGCACACTGCACTTCATGTGAGGCATCACATCTCACAAGTACATAAGCCAAGCGTCCATAGCGTCAAGCATAGCTCGATCATTACCATTCTTGCCCCAATGCTCTCAAGTAAGTAATATCAACTGAATCAGCTAATTGGCAGAGCTTTGGCCACGATCCTCGGCCGTAAATAAGTAGCCATGGATATTCATAGAAACATTTCCTGCTGATCAAACATCATTCATACAATTTTGAGTTTTGGCTGGTTCTGGTGGAGCACGTAAAAACCAAGCACGGCCATCTGCAAAATCCCATAAGGTAAACATGGAGGAAGAAAGAGTTCATCCTTCCACACAGGGAAGCAATCATTGCTGTGTCTAAAGGAGACAAAGGTATCATGCAGTATACCCGTAAGTAGACACACACAGGAACTAGGATTGTACAGACAGCGTATGAACATTCACGTGTAAACAAAGCTCACTCGTACACATGTAAACTCCAGTGGACGACTTGTCTTCATTAAGAAACAGCACGCTAGCATGAGGAGCATGCAAGCACCCCCCGACATGGAAACAGCCGAACACTGGACTGCTGTGTCTAATCATCTCTGCAATGATGTGTATTGTGAATGACATATTGTTATTATCTGTGGAAAAAAACAACCAGGCTGATGATCCCCAGAATAGAATGGCGCTGTGTCGTTGTCGTTGTCGCCGTCATCGTCGCCATCATCGCCGTCGTCGTCGTCGTCGTCGTTGTTGTCGTTGTTGTTGTTGTTGTTGTT